GCTCATTCGCCCTCCTAAGGAGGCATTTCAGCCGCCGCTTCGGCGCCCTCCTTCGTCTTCGACCTAGCCCTTGGCTGGTCCCCTTGCTCCTCTTGAGCCCTCTCTTTTCAGCATTTCAGCCGCCGCTTCGGCGCCCTCCTTCGTTTCCGACCTAGCCCTTGGCTGGTCCCCTTGCTCCTCTTGAGCCCTCTCTTTCTGTGCCTTCTTTTGCAGCCCTCGTCTCCGGCTGGATGAGCCTGTTCCGCCTTCCCCGCTGGTCTTCGAGCCGGGGGACATTTGCGGGCCGCTCGCGGTTTCACTCTTCTGCTCGCGCTGGCTCTGCTGGACGCTTGCTCTTCCCCCTGTGGGAGTATTTTGGGGCCATCCTTCCCCCATTTTCCTTGCCTTCCCCTGCCTGACTGCCCAGGGGTTTTAGGCGCGCCTTGGGTACCACCGCGGCCCCTATAGGGTACCCGTGTGGCCTCCCATTGCTTCGTACGGGTGTAGAGGCACGCGAGGCCGGCTTTTCATGGGCCTTCCGAGGGGAGCTCGATTGGACATATCACCCCCTCACTTGTGCATTGCCCCTTGTTACGCCTCTTGCCCATTTTGGGGGGGCAGCTTCGGCTGGCCTCCCCCTCTGGTGTGCCTCTTCCAACCCCGTTCTTACCGGGGTATGGTTGTACCCTCTGACTGGCCGGTTGCCCGTCGTGCGCCTCTCCGCGGTTTGACCCTTCCGGCCACCGATGTCCGCATTCGGCATCCCCGGCCCTACCCCATTTGATTATCGTATATCGTTGAGGGGGCGCTCCCCTCTGCTGCCACATCCCACCGTATCTCTGGGATTTTCTCGTGGCCCTTCATTTTCGTTCCGCCTCACTTCCTCGACGACGTTCGTCGCCCCCGCCACTCCCTTCGTCCCCCGTCCCTTCGGCGGGCTCTCGACGCCCCCCCTCCCACCGTACCTCCCGTTTATTGCGTCGGCTTGCCAGCTTCTGGCCTGACGTCGCGGGTCGCGACTACGGGGGGGGGGGGGAGTGATGTACCGCACTAACCGGTACCCGGGGGTATGGACAACCCCCCTACAGTAACCGGCCCAAGAGGGCTACGGTTACAATAGTGTAGGGGTTAGAGTGCGCTGACCGGCACTAGGGCGGTGGCCACCGGTACCTGGGGTACCCCCAGGTACCGGCGCTCGGGTGTGGCCCCAAGTACGTAGTACTTGGGGTCCGGTGCTGGGTCCCAGCTTAATGGCCTTCGAGCGCCCGCACCGGGAACGCTCTCTCACCCCCTGTTGCGCGCTGCCGCGCAACAGGGAGTGATAATGCGAAGAACATTATACAAGGCGGTTGGCGCCTGCTGGACGTCCTCGCCGGGGAACAGGACAGGCTCTGCGCGGGCCAGAACTTGGTCCACGGTCTCGGCGGCGCACAGGAGGTTGACTCCCGGGGACTTGGAGTGGATTCCGATGAGGTTCCTCGCCGCCGAGTACAGCCCGCTCCAAGAGCCCTGAATCCAAGCCTCGTCATAGACCAGGAAGCGCCACCGTGCGTGACGGCTGCAGGACCGGAATGGCTGGCATCCTCGGCCGAGCACAAAGCGCCGTCGTGGCGCTAGTACTCCGGTGGCCGAGGAGGAGGCCCGAGTGTGGAACTCGTCCTCCGGCTCTCTCAGCCACTCCATGTCGACCGGCGCGGAGGTCCCTCCCGCCCCCAGAGGAGTGGGGGGAGTAGGGACGCGCGCCGGGGGGCGGTGCAACTCCGGGTCGACAGGATGACTGCCTTCACCCGCTGCCGACGCCCCCACCCGTAGAGAAGCCAATTTCGGAATGGCGGACCCTGCCGCGCGAAGAGCGCGCGGGTCGGGGCCGTCGTGCAGAGCTCGCTCCCTTTCCGCGGACACAGCTTCCCAAGTAGCGGCCGCGTGCATGCTACGCGGTGACGCCTGCGGCTAGGTTGACCGAGACTGCTTAGGCAGCTGCTCTGCCCGACCCTGGGGCGGCTGGCACCACCAGGCGTTCTGCTGCGCCACGGACGGCGCGGCGGCCGCCGTGCGCTCACCCCAACGACCGCGGAGCTGCGCTGCGACACGAGCCGCGCTTTGGTCAGCACGCCTCGGGCTACGAAAGGTGTAGACATGCACACATTTACCCGGTGCGGGTAGCGTGTCGATAGGAAAACGCAGCAGCGGGACATGAAAGCCGTCGCGGTCTTTCGTCTGCGGGCGGATCAGCGGCAGAGTTGCATCCCTAGGCCTAATCCCTGGCCCCACACTGAGGGAGGGCGGCAGTTCATGTTCGGCCAAACACTCGAAGTGAGCATGGGCGAAGACCCACTCGGGCGCGATGAGCGCCAAGCTGGTGTTGGAGGGCACCCAGGACGCGTCCCTCTGCACGGCCGTTGCGTCGAAGGTGACGGCGGGGAGATGTACCTCAAACCATTGGCGATGAGCCGCCTCCATGGGCGTCGCCCACGGCGGGCAAGAGGCGGGGCGAAGGGCCAACACCTCGTGTGAAGCGTATTGAACTATGTCGACCATGCCCATGTGCTCGCAGAGAGTCATGGTGAGCAGATGTAGCGGTCGCGGAGGCGGCCCAAGGTGGCACGGTGGCGACCTCGAAGAGAGTGTCGGCCACCGAGAACTCCTGCTCGATGTCATGGAATCAGAGCGGAAACTCGGCCGTCGCGGCATCGGTTCCTTCTGGGGCAGAGAACTGGCCTCCGCCATGGCGCCACCTATGTGACGAGAGATGGCACTGGAGACCGGGCGTGACGTCACCATGCGGGGTGACCGCAGCCGGCGCGATACGGTCATGTACCCCGCGAACGAGGTGACAAAAGAGGGTGCGGGATCCTGACACCGCTGAATACTCGAGCCCCCTTGGAGTAAGCCCCTAACGCGAGGCCGTGCGGCGCTGGAGCTCGCCTGCCATGGAAGCCCACGACCGTAGTGCGAGCGAGCGGTGGAAGGTGAGCAGCGTCCGCGCTATGCGAAGGGCCCTCAACCCGGAGGCACGCGTCGGCTCGGACACGGATTGGGCGAGATCCGAGCGGCTGCGGCGCTTGGCGAAAATGCTGGAGTCGATGAGGCTGCCGCGCATCGCCACGCCGCCGAGGTTTACCTGCCACTACGCGGGACGGTCAGGTTGGCGCCCGTGCGCTCTATCTGTCCCTCTGGCTGGGCATGCTCCACCCATGAGCCTGGTTGCTCGCCCGCTGGGGGCTGGTCAACGATCTCCGCAGGGACGTGCTCCCATTCGGCCGCTTCCTCTGGGGGCTCGGGCGTCGCGCCCGGCCCCCGTGGGGAAGCCTCATCGTAGTCCAATTCCTCCATGTGGGGGGTCAAAGTGATCCGCCTGAGAGGGGGGGACCGCCGTGAACTGTCAGAGCGCCATGTGCACTGCGCGATCGCCCCCGCGATGAGCGGGGCGCTGAGGCACGACACTAGAGGTGCCACCCAAGTCGAGTGCTCACCGTCACAGGGCTCCGCCGTGCGCGGGCGCTCCTGACCGGCGCGCCGGCAGGCGGGCTGAGCCGGCCCGTGCGCGATGAGCGTAGCCGGAGAGAACCTAGGCGCCGCCAACGGCGGAGGTGGTCCGCGCCCGACCGGTATGCGCGCCGGCTGAGCGCGCAGCGTGCCGCGGCCGCGAAAACGGGGGGCGGGGCCCGAGCGGCGCGCAAACGCTGCGGGAGGATGGGGCGCCCCCGGCGATTCGTTGCGAACCCAACGTGCGGGCAGGCCGACGGTGCGCCGGGGCTGCCCGTGGGCGAGCCGCGATGCGAGAGGGTTTGTTGCAAAATTCTCTCCGCTTCCTGCTAGCGCGGCTCGCTCTCCCCGCCGCCGTGCCTACCATCCTTTGCGCTTGCTTCCGCGGCAGGCTGGCGGCGGCGGTCGCGCTAGGTTATGGCCCGCAACGCTTGACGCGAGGAGCGATAGCCTCGGTCTCCGTGCTGTGCACTTTAACCCATCAGACGTGGTCCTGGCGCGTCCGCGCTCATTAATCTCTGTTAATCATGTTAAGAATGCCGCTCAGTGTCAGGGAATCGAGGTCGGGAATGGACATATCGCCGATCACAAGTTCCGGCGCATTTCAGGACAAAATTATAGAAACTTGGGCATCAAGCGCCCAGTACAGCGGCAGGGGTATTGTGGGGAGAACAGGATGTTGCTCGACAGGATTGCCAAGCAGCCACCACCGATCCACCCCACCCACCCAGCAAGGCACGTGTGGTGTCCGAAAGCTATTTCACACGCATCAGAGGAGGAAAATGCATGGTGGGTAGGGTGGTGCTCTAACCACTAAAACCACATCAATCAACTCAAACCGGGACTATTTTGCTTGCTCCCCGAAGATGTTCATCTTCTTCGTATCAACGGCATTCGTGACCCAACCATGGTGTTTCTCACCCCTGTCACATTAATATTCGCAGCACCCCGAACTGCACCTAGTTATTGAAAAATATGCCAACACGGGTCAATGCCCCCAAGTGGCGATACCCCCCCTGACGGGTTCCACGGGAGCCGAGGCTTCGTTCTGAAATTCACTGTCCCACCCTAAACCACCCACCCTACCCCGCCATGCTAACTCCGCGCTGGCAGGGCCTGCAAACATCCCCTCATTCTCTCAAATAGCATACGCGGTGGCTATCCCCCTCTCTCTTTCTTGCAACAAGCAGGAAATTCAGGTCTTGGGTGCCTTCGATATCCAACCCACTCCCGCCACCACACCATCGGCTTTGCGGCCACAGGGGAGCCTCTGCTAGCCAGTCGACCCACCCAAGACCAGCTGCCCCCCACCCCCCGAAATCCCCTCCTTTCCATAGCCCATCAAATGCGGACAACGCAACACACTTTCAAAAAAAGGGCACGACGAGCGCCCTTCAAACAACCGCTCACGCACACCTGCCACCAGCACAGCACCTCGCCGACGCAACCAGCAGGGCGTTTTCCGGTGTTTTCCTGCAGGCGATGAGGGCCATGGACGCCCCTTTCCTCCCAACAAGAGACACGGTTTGGTGCTCTCACTCCCCAAGCAGCGCAGTGAGTTTGATGCGCAAAGTCTTGTCGTTCCTCAGCGCCTCCCCCAGTCCGCGTATGAGGCCCTCCTCACCCTCCGAGGTGCTCACCGCCCGCTCCACCACCCGCGCGGCAGCCACCGCCCTCAGCCCCTTTAGCTCGATGGATATCCTCGCCCTCCCCGCGGAGCTCTCAGCCCATCTGCACAAGCAAGACAACCACCGGGAATAACACGATGCCTGAAGGGTGCCAGCAACGAGCAGATTGCGTTCGTCATTTGGCACACAAATAATGCTGAGAAGGCCCTGAGACATGAACAACAAATTATTCTACAACAAATTAATCAAATGACTTGCGCTATTGTTGCAACTGCTCACGCGACTGGTACTATATCTGGATTCAAGGATTCATACTCTCATCAAGATGCCTTTATTTGGAAGAAATGGAAAAAAACGAGACGAGGAATTCGAAACAAGCAGATATTCAAATCAACCGTGAAAGAATAACAGAACTTGAGGAATCAGTTCCAGGAGACGGGCGTCACCTTGAGAACAGGCCGTCGTCCTGCCACAGCCTCGCTTCTTTCATCGCAAGCCCCGGCTCGTCGCCGTAGATGATGGTGCCCCGGTCCTCGCCGCTGGCGCCCTCCTCCTCCTCTGGCAGCAGTGAGTTCAAGAACCACCGCTGCAGGCACTCCACGCCCTGAGACCGGCTCAGAGATGGGTCCGCAGAGCACACCTGCGACATGAGACGACCAGAATCATGGAATTAGGTAGGATACCGTACTGAACGACAGAATGTATGATACCAGCAATGATTGACGCCAACGCATTTGCTCACTGGATTGGTACATTAAATCGATTGATGCCATGGCGTCATGTCAATACATCCATGCAAGGAACAAACAAAGAAACACACCAGTCAACGTATTAGAAACAGTGCACTGGTCGCAGGACGAGTGCCCATGCTGAGCATGATACTGATCCTGATCCTGACAATTGAGCGACGTCGCAAGTGAGGTAGTCCTGGAGAAACGCTGAAACACTGAGTCAACGCATTTATCCTTTCATGCGCAGCACGGCGAAGCACGCTGGTCGCGTCGTGCAACCTCACAGCATGGCGCTGGACAACCTCAGTCCCCACGGCACAGGGAGAGGGACAAGAGCTGGTGCTGCAACCTTCGGCACTTCACAACGAAGGCTTCATCGCCCTGCAGGGTCACTGTGTCCAAACATACACATTGCTTCTGCAACCATTCTCGCTCGAGCGGTGTGCACACATTTTTTCTGCAGTTTGTGCCGAATTGGTTAATTTTATGCAGCCGTTGTTAACCGCCAGAATTGTGCCGAAGGTACAGGGAAACTGCCAGACTCCCAACTGCCAACCCGTCGATCCCCCAGGCTTCGCACAGGTGTATTGCGTCGCATTTTGAAGAAGCCGCATGAATGTGATGACCTGTATGCAGACCTGCTGAATCAGCGCCCCCTCGACCAGGCGCCGCTTCAGCCGACGCGCCAGGAACTCCCGCGCCTGGGCCCAGGGGACCACACCGCGGATGGCGCCCTTGGCGCCCAGGCGCGCGGGCGTGTCGTGCATCTCCGCGAACTGCGTCGCCACCTGGCGGTACACCGACGCCAGCTCGCCCTCGCGGTGCCGGATGCTCTCTGTCGGAACGGGGCTCTGTCGCCTCAGGCCGATCAGCACGGGGTCGATCCTGCGCGTCAAAATGGCGAACGACTGAGGCGCCGTGCACACAAAGCGGCCAGACCCGGCGGTGAGGATGCCAGGCGTTGATATTGAAGGGTAACGACGGTTGGAATTTTTCAGACCACAACGGTCTGCCTGCGCTTCAGCGTGGATTCAGCGGTTGAACGCATCCTTGCGCGCAGCGTAGCGAAATGGCCAACGCAAAAACACCGGGAAGCGACGGCGGTGCAGCGCCAAATTCTGTGGGTGCACATTGGAAACGGGCGCCTTCTTCGAGATTTTCTGCCGGCTCCAAAACGATCAAGCAAACTCGAAGCACGGCGGACGGTATGAAGCCAGCACTGACTCGCGGACGCAAGGGCAGTCCTTTGTCGCGTCTTGACACTACGCAACGCAGCGGATGCCCTACACCAAGCGCATCTGCAACAAGCAACTGCGCGTGGATCAGCCACGGCACCGGGAACGGGCAGGCCCGAGCTCGACGCTGCGCTGCCCGCCACAACACTCAAGGGGGCTTCGTCCGTCCTGCGCTCTCAACGCAACCAACCGACGCGGCTCGACCACCTGTGCATCATCTTCACCATGTCCGGCTCCCGGAACTTGATCTCCACGATGCCCTCGGGCTCCAGGACGCCCCCCCTTGCGGTCGGGTCCGCGTACACCTCCACCATGTCCCTGTTGATGTTCGAGTCCAGCACCACCCAGGCGCCTCCCCGCAGCTCGGCGCCCGGAGGCAGGTAGATGAAGGCGGGCTGCCGGAAGGTGCGCAGGTTCTCGACGATGAGCGAGCCAGCCTGCAGGATGCCCTCGAAGAGGTCCCGCTGGCCGCCAGAGAAGCCGCGCCAGTTGGCCAGCACCACCAGGGGCAGGCCCTCCAGGTTGAACTCCTCGATGGCCTGCGCGGTCTTGGCGGAGGAGTCCGGGAACCACACCTGCAGCAGGGGGAGCCACTGTTCGGCAGCGGGCGCCGGAATGCGCAATCTCGGGGCCGCATGCGCCCCAGCGGAAGCGATAGCAATGGTCACAGCTGTCACAAGCATTCATGGTGATACTGCTGTAACAACTCAACAATTGTTTGTTTGCAACATTCTTTAGGTTGGTGAAATGGTTAATTCGTATGTAAAGAAAATTGAACGCTGTGCATACCAATAATATCAACAAACCAATGATAATGACGACCAGCTGGCGCTCCGACGATGGACACAAATAGACATTGCGAATTCCGCTGACGTAATTTACGATGAGGTGGAATGCAGGCCAATTGGTCCAAAAGCTCGTCGTTGGATTTGGCACGCTACAATTCTGAGAGCTTGGATGATGTCGACATTTGAGCGCAAACAATGACACGCGTCCAGCAGCCCCGCTTCACCTCTGGGCAAGATGCGGGGTGGGAGGACTGCCTTGCGTCCAAACGATGGTGCAAGCATTCGACAAGCCAACGCGTACGGCACCAGTTGCTAGCGCGGGACGCCGTTCACATTCCCTTCGACGCCAGCCTTGTTTCGCTTCACATGCCTCTCGTGCTTACATAATATCGTGCTTGTGTGCAACTCGATTTAAGGCGCGACGCCGACACAACAAGCGCCCGGGCTTCGTACGCCGCGACTTGGGAGCGACGGACGCGTTTCGCCGCAGCGCCCCAACGCACTACAACAAACCAGACTACTGCCCCCACTTCCTCCGCCCGCCCGTCCAGCCCCCACCTGGCTGGCCTGCGGAATCATCTGCTCCGACGACTCCAGCATCCCGGGGTCGGCGGGCACGTTCTTCATCACCGTCTGGCTCTCCACCCCAATGACGCCCACGGGTATGCCGCCCAGCCTCGCCCGCCCCGTGACCACCGTCCTGGCCCACCCAGCCTGAGCCTCCATCCAGCTCCCTTTGTCAAACAGGCCACTTACCCAAGCCACATCCCGCCCCTTGCTGGCGTAACCACCAATCGCCTTGCGAGCATCGAGCTTCTCGTTCGCCCCTGGAGCATAGCCGATCATTCTGTTCACGGGATCGGCGCTGGGCAGCGGCAGCGGGGAGCCTCCCAGCACGGGCGGCGCGTAGCTCAGCCAGCGCAGGACCACTTTCGCGCCCTCCAGGTCGTCGTCCACGATGTGGTGGGAGACGCCGTTGACGCCCATCACGCGGGGGCCGCCCAGCTGCATGTGGGAGGTGTACACCTCGCGGCCCAGCAGCTTGTTCAGCGCGCGGAAGCCCGTCAGGATGATGGGGTGGTCGGAGCGTTGCACGCACCTGCGGCGCAGCAGGCGCGGGGAAAACGGTCAGGGCTGTGCAGCGTGTTTTGGGGAAGGTCGTCGCGCCTCGCTGCGAGAGGGGAGGAAAATGCGAGTTTGGAAAGTCGTTGACTGATGCACGGTGAGTCGTGATGAACGCAGAAGAAAGGCAATTTGTGTGATAACCGGGACGCAATTGGGCAAGCGCAATTCCGGGCCATTTCAACCAGCGCTAACTTGCTCAAAATCGCGCACTAGCTACTGCTACAGCAGGACATCACGCATTGCCTTGTCCTGTTCAAAATGATGATGATGATGCTGCAGCAGGGTACCACACGCCAAAACGATGTCGCTGCGGCCGAAGAGATACGACCAACATGGCCACACTTCGGTCAACACAGCACGACACGCATCGTGCTGTGTTTACCGTATTTGTCTGGCCGTCGGCACGCCAGCGAGTGCGCCACGAGGGCCCCCGGCCGCGTGTGTCGGGCCTCAAAGCCACCCACCTCCGTCCCAGGCGCGCCAGATAAGCGCCTATCCCCACGCTCTGCCCCGTCACCAACGTTATCGTGAACCCCTCGCGGAAGGCGCGGTTGTACGCCGAGGCAATCGCCCCGCTCCCGCTCAGGCACTCGATGCCCAGGCCGTCCTCCAAGCCGATCACGTCCGTTATCTTCCATCTGCGCCCGCCCTCCGGCGAGGCAACCTCCTCCGCCACAATGGAGTGGTGGCCCGCGCCCTCGGCCTGCTTCAAGAGGTCCTGGTAGTCCGCGTCTTCCAGGTACAAGTATTGGAAGCCCTTGGTGGGGTCGCCATGGTTCACCCACTCGACCTGAGAAAGAAAGCACAATGAATCGCAAAGAAAATAACGCCATCTCGTTTCAGGGTGGGCGTGGAGATGTTGCGGGCTATTAAATCAGTCGCGAAGTCGCCTCAAAATGGTGTGGTGATGGAAGCATGGGGTATGCATGTGATGTGTGCAGCTTGCGCAATGATGCGGACAGCTTTCTGAAGAGTTGCATGGCATGGCAGCCAGGCTCGCCATCACAAATGCACTGCGTTCCATGCATCGTCTCAGGTCAGAAACTGGCTTGATCGGCACAAAGAGCCATCCCATATCATCATCTGGCAGCAACAAGGGAGATGTCTTGTACGTAGCCAGGAATAAGAACAGGTATCTAACAAGTTCATTTGATGCACCAATGCAACTCCCAAGATGTTGCCCCAGTGTGGATTCAATGCAAGAGGCAGCTGCACCGACCCGATGGAAGTGGCACTCAAACCCACATGCAGCCACCACCCAGAGAAGGCGTAAAGCTTGTATCACTGTCAGTTTCGTAACTGACCATGCTGCACAAATGACACATACTTTGCAACTCCTTGCCCCGCAGACGGTACAAATGGTACTCCGTTCATTTCGACTCACCTTCAGCTTTGCTTTCACTTCGTTGGCCAGGCCAACTCGGGCGCCTGAATTGGCAGCCAGGTACACAACTGGCAATTTCTCCGCCAGCGCATAGTTCACCGCGGCCTCAAAGAGGGCGTCCTCCTTGGGCCCAAAGGCCCCATACTGGAATGTGGTGTCGTTCGAAACGGCCACGACCTTCCTGCCCTGGGGTCGCTCTGGCGTCTTGAGGGTCATGAGCCATGCCACCATGCCGATTTTGTTCTGGCCGATTGGGGTGGAAACTTTCTCTAGGCGTTGGGACTTGCCAGGCGCCGCAAGCCCAAGCTCCTCAGCTTCCACAAGGTAGCCCACAGGCGGCGTGCCAGGGTCACCTGAAGGAAGCACAACCATTCGAATGAATTGTGTAGCCCACTTTGGAAGTGCAACACCTGGCTTCGCCAGCCACAGCTGGCACAACAGGCTCGGGAAATGGAAAGCAGATATACAGTTGTATCATTGACGACCATCCCCTACTGTGCCTAAAGGGGGGTGATAAGGCGACTGCAGGCAATCGTGCATCAGCAGGCCCGGACTGGTTGTCTTGACAAATGATATCATACGCATCCTGTTGTCACACTTCATTGTGCACACGCCCATTCGCTTCATGAGTATGCACTTGCATGATTGCTTGAAACACTTTGCAAAGCATTCTTTGTCGCGCCATGAATGCTGTTCTTCCAGTTAGTGTTCACTGCATTGTGATACAGGACATATTTGTGTGGATGTCCTCCTGGCCCAAACAGTATCGGACACAAGCCTGCCCACAGACAGTTGCCAAAGCACTGAGCATACCTCACACCCAGGCATCGAAATTGCTTGGAAGTGTGCCTGAACATCGAATGATATTGGCAACAACACAGCTCCATGAATGCGAATGGCTGACAGCGCTTGGGGCAATGGAGGACTGGCAACAGCGTTACAAGAATTGTGCGTGGTGAAAGCAGCTCACAGAGGCCATGCTGCATGATGCAGCCAATTCAGCAGAGTTGATGGGCAATTTCTTTGCACCCTGTGCCACCCAAAGGGAACAAAATGATCCTATTCATTTGGAATCGTTGATTTTGGATTTGTGGTTGGAGCTGTGCGATCCAGTTTGTTTGGTTCCAGCAACACAGCAAAAAATCGTGCCAAACAAAACAGCAATTCCCTTGCCACCCCAATTTCCACCGATGCAGTACTTATGGTAACAACATAAACAGCAACAAGCTTATCTGTTCTGTTGTCTTTGGCCTGATACCAAGTCACTCATCAGTGTGGGCATGTTCAGGAGGCTGTTGCCATTGCAACGTACCTGCTCGAGCCCGCTCAGACCATATTTCCCTAAGGGCGTTGTCAAACACACGGGGGAAGTCGTAGCAGTACGTGGTGTTGAGCCTCCGCGCCTGTAGCCTCTTCTGCTCCAACGGGTCAAGGGGTCCATATGGCTGCAGCACCGGCTGGCCGTCCAGTGGGCCCGCAGCGCATCCTGCAAAGTGTTTGGACTCGTACACCCTCTCCTGTTGGCCATTCGCGTCCTGCACGAGCTTCTCCCGGTAGATGGCGACGTCATCTGCGCTGGTCTCGTGACCTGCGGGACATGCATGGCCAGTCATGCTTTAAACACTGCCTGGCACATGCAGTGACAATATTACAGTAAACGCAGCCATGATTGCTACCCTTGCCATCGCTAGAATTATGACTATTTCTACCGACATTGCTATCATCATATATTACTACCATTTTATCATTCCCATTGTAACTATTACGGCCACTATCACTAACAATATTACTATCATTGCCGTCGCCGCCGCTACTGCAACACTTGCAGTTGTAACATATTCTCCACAGCCCCAATGGGACGATCACTGAGAACCACGTGATCACGACGCCACCAAAGCACGCCATCGCACCTCCTGCTGGAGAACGGGGTTACAGTACTTGCATCGATATTTTCTATGTACGGCCGTGTGCCCGTCATCAACCTGAAGGTGGAGGGCAGTGACGCCCGCTTTTGCCTATGTCAATCAAAGGCCTACTTCAATCAACGCGTCAATCAAAGCTTATTTCAATCATCATCCCACCTGTTGGCAACGACACTACCACCCTCCAGGCTCCGCAGTTGTCCAGCGCCCTGAGCCTGATCTCCAGCTGAGCGACGCTAGCCTGGCGCAGCTGGGAGCTCCTCCTTGCCATGACCCCCGCACATGCCAACTTCAACGCGCTGGCCACCTTGATCTCAACCCCGAGTCCCCCAGACTCCCCGCTCGACCTGTGCAGCAAAGCAGCTCGTGCCTCGTTTGCACAAAAATGCCACAAGGCTCTTGCAGACTTTCTTGCACTTCATTTTGGGTCCTTTGTGGCAGAGCGCACGATGCTTTATCCGATTAACAAGAAATTCCTGCTCTCCATGCAGAGTCTCTCATCAAGGCAACTGTGATGGTATCAACAAGCGGAACCACCATGATCAATGCTTTCTCTCAGCTCGTTTTCATCATCGACAATTTGGGTGTTTGGGGACAGTATTTCGCCGAATTCTGGCCTACGCAGCCGCGCAGGAATGTCTACCAATCCCCTCTCCTTACCATAACAACAATTCGACATTCAAACTCACACACATATGCAAGACGATGCAAGAAATTCATTCCCAGCGGGACACAGCAGTTTACCATATGTCGAGGGAGGCTTTCACATACGTTGAAGGTCGGCGGATTGGGAGTCCAAGACGTGCTGTAAGGTGGAGCGACACCACTGTTCGTCGGCGAATTCATAGAGCAACAGAAGATAGAGCAGCTGGAAAAGTGCTTTCATCTGTCACTCGACCAGGAACAACAAAATATCGCTCCAGGCGGCCTTTTCAGGGTTCACACAGGATCACCACAGACTTTTATATGCCACGATTGAGCCTTATTCTAAACGGCTCGATGCACCATAATGAAGCGTCATTGCTGCAATCTGGTAGACAATACATGGCGACCTTGCATTATCAGTGTACAGTTCACTGGCAGTGTTTTTCATGGGCGCATACAGGAGCCGGAATTCTTCATTCGTTGGCAGCCTGCTCAGCGCCAGTTAAACCCATTACCTGTACAGCGTAATTGTGGGCAGCACGGCCAGGAAGATGTGCGTCCAATCCACTGCCTGGCCCGTCTTCCCGCCCGCACTCTTCCGCTGAATCCTCATCAGCTCCTCCAGGCACCCCACTAGCGTGTCCTCGATTTCGCTGATGATGGCCGTCGCGGCCGCCACCTCGTTCTCGTCGTAGGACGCAGCCAGGTACGCAGGCGTTCCACCGACTTGGCGAATGAGGCCCCGCAGGAAGAGGCGCTTCAGGGTCTGCCGCTTGGACTCCTTGCACTCGGTGATAGTGTAGGTGTGCCACTGACGGTTTCGGGAGGGGGCATACTCAGGCTTGCATCCCCGGAGCTTGCTCAACTCGAGGGCTAGGGCGACAGGCGGCTCCACTTGCCTGCATCCGCCCCACACTGGCAGTTGATGGTGCACAGTAGTGATGCTACAACGATCTCAGTTTGATTACAGTTTGATACCTTTCACTTATAAATGGTGACGGATACGTTTTATTACACACATGATTGCAAATGTTGCTTTGCTCAGGTCGCCCTGTTGGTGCCTGGACATGTTGACCTATGTTTAGCAAAACAAAGCAGAGGAATTGTCCGTACATCCAGGGCACCAATCCCGGTTACTTCTTTTAGCTCCAGAAGAGTGTCAGCTGCGGTGGAGTGGTGCTGCATTGACAATATTTCTCATGGCACTGGCAACCTGGGCGGCAGCAGATTCGCAGGTCGGCTGATTATTGAACCATGCGAACAACAAAAGATGAAACGGAAGAAGGGGTCCCTGAACAAAGGCAGGGATCATTCATCATCGGCCATCGACAGTGAAAGACGTCACCGAAGACGTCACTCAGCATCTGTCCACTACGGTAGGGTGGACCAGGCGCGAGCATCTTTAAATCAGAATACACCCTAACTCAAGTCGTTTAGCCATCCAGCAGTGAACACCGTGCGCCTGAAACACCACTTTAATAGCAGTTCATGATGATGCTGTGGGAATTGTTTTTGCGATCATTACCCGCACAGTAGCACAGATCTCCGCAGTCGAGGGCACACGTGCGCACCTCAGAGTGGGGTCGGGGCAGAACTTTCTGACCTCGGCATCCCACCAGTAGCCTTTCCTAAGGGGTGCCTTCAGCTGAGACGCCTTGAGCAGGATGCTCACGGCCATGAATCCCATGGACTGGAGCTCGTCCGTGGCCGCCTGTACACTGGCCTGCACATATCAATATATTAGCCAACAAATAAACCAATCGACGGATCGACGACAGCAGCGCTCGCCGAAGCGCTCGCACAATCGGTAATTCTTCCCTGTAAAGTAACCAAATCTGGTGTTAAGGGGTTCAATAATTCAAGTCACACCCCTCGTGCCCATGCGGATAATTCTCGCCACAAACAGTTTTGAGTCAGTTACACCTGGTCGCCAGGTGTCCGCGCAAATCCCCGTATCAAAAACATGACACCAGGGCCCAAGATGACAACGCATTGGCCGAGACAAGCAAGCACCTCACCTGGATGTGGGGCTCGACACTCTGCAAGTTGAATCTGCAGGCGGCCGTTGTGAACTCGGCGCCATCCAGCGTCACCGTGGCGTCTGTGTCCAGCGCCCCCTCTTCAAGCACCACAGACGCCTGCTGCGAAAGGTCCAAGGCCTTGCTCTCGTCGCCTGTTCAACGAGCCCTCGATATCAGGGACGCGGCTCTTCGATCCAAATTTCGGTGCAAATTCTCGCATTCATTGTCGACAAAGGGTATGGCAAAGGTGCCATCCAAGATGCAGAGTGGTGACATGAGTCGACAAACCAAAGCACTCTGTGGAACATGTGGCAAATTATCCTTTCCGTGATGAGTGCTGCTGCTTACGGCTGAGGTAGGGTGTATGATAGAACATATGGCAAATTATCCTTTCGGTGCAGACGTAGGGTGTATCTCGGCAGATGTGGACCTCAAGGCGACATTTGTCACTGACAGGCAGCAAGTACTGCTGAGCAAATCGTCTATGGAATGCAGAGGGAATGCTTGCAATTGTTGCTGGCATGGATGACGCGAATCTGGTCGACAGGTTGCTCATTTCCCTCGACCTTTGAGTCCTTGTCGCAAGGCCATGCAAAATGTCAGAAGATGTACAAGGCTTCAAGTGCACCGGGTCTAATAACTTCACACTTGGGAATTCTATGTTGCGAAACGACAATTTCAAACCCTGCATCCACGTTGTCCACAGGGATAAATACGTTGAGGTTCGATTTATACTAAAGTTGAAGCTTCTTGGCGTTGTGGCGAACATGGCTCGGCCACCACATTGCAAACACGATGGTGAGTTCTAAATCCGAAGCGTTGGCCAACGTTCTCTGCTAAGCATCTCGCAAAACGATTCGCAATGCACAAAGAGGCAATGTGAAATCTGCACAGCTCTATAACTGCCAATCGCATCTGCATGCGTGCAAACGACTGACGTGGCCACTTCCATACGTGCAGCTCTTATCCACCCATCATTCATGATGCATGCCACAGCGCGCTCAACCAACTCACCAACCAGGGCCATGTGAAACGTCCCAATCTTCGTCTCCGGCGTCTGAATCGACGCCAGGGCTTGCCTTGCCAGAGCGAGGCACTCAGGAAACTGGGACAGCGACTGCGCACACACGAACACGCCGTGGCATTCATGCGCCGCGCTGGTGCCTGAGCATTGCGGGTTGTCGTACACCCACACCGCCACTGTCACATCACCCTGCGTCGTGATGGTCGGCTCCCTCAAGATGTGGGGGTGATAGATGCGCTTGATGTAGGTCATGAGGGCGCGTTGCGGTAGGCCTGGGCCCCCACTGTCGTCGCTTGTGCCGGGCTTTCCAAGCAGGAGGGCCAGTGCATCGTCCACAGCGGCTGCCGCTTCGACCAGCATGGCCATCTTCTGCGCCTCAACGAATGACTTGGTGAGCATGTTGGACAGGGCGCCGCCCATGTTGCCCAGGCCTCTGTACAATCCCTCCTGGGTCGTCACCTTTGCCAAGGACACAGTCATGCGATGAACACGGGATGGACAACGATCACTCAATGAGCGTGGGCCACCCTACGTCGACTTCAGTCGCTGTTCATCAACAAATGCGCGAAACATAACAAAATCATACCTGTAATATAATGATATATAAGTAGATCCTTTGTCCCATATTAAATGTCCTCTATTTGAAAGAAAGAATTCGTTACAAGGACGACCTCAAAATTACAGAAGGAGGTCAGAATCGGAGAGATTGGATTTCGAGCCCATAACTACCAAGTTTTAAGAAGAAAAAGTGTGCCCTGACATCTTTGAGCGTCGGGCGAAAACTTGGAGGTTTGCTAGGTGGAGGACCCTTGCTTCAAAGGGCTGCCAAATGCACAGTATTCGAAGGATTTCATTTGATTTCGGACCCGCACTCTAAACTCACAAGCACTGTGGACGAAATTTTATGAAAAATGAAATATCTATGATGGAGAAGGACATTCATATGGGACAGAAGAAGTGCATAAGTACATGATACTACCTCTGTTTCAAAAATCGTGTCTGTTATCCAATAGGTCCAAACGAATGCCCGAAACAACTTCGATGCACCTTATTAGGAGTTGTCTTAGAGCCCTCAAACGTAGCAAACAACATTGCCATTCTTACAATATGCCAAGGAGAGCTGAAACAGTGTTTTCCCTTCTGTTTGGACCTAAGCCAGGCCACAGTAAGCTTGTCTTGCCCATCCACAGAGGTGGATCGAGCTGAGCTATCCCAAGCAGAGATGTGTGATTTGATGGTTAGTTATGCACAAAGATCTGGGTGGATTCCAAACAGAATCTGTAGTGCAAAGGTTGGGGATTTTGCCGCAGAGATTGGGCATTGAAAAGTACTGTGCAAAAGCATCAACCTGATAGATGTGCCAAAGTGGAAAAGTGGAAAATCGTGCCAAAGTGGAAAATCGTGCATGGTGGTATTAACCACAAAATGCCGCCTAGATTGGGGCCAAAACGACCAATTGCTGAAAAACAATAGTAATTTGAAAGCACACTTGAGCGCAGTGGAAGAGATGATCCACAAAAAGAATAAAAAAATAATTCCAAAACTCTCAAAGGATGTGGTATTGCTCATTCATTGTCGACAACAGGGTTCTTGAAGTTTTTTTGGGAAATGGGCTGGAGCACACTGGGATAAGGTCAGTACGAATTCTTGGGAACTGAGGTCCGACACAAGTGGACAAGAGCACTTTCAGTAAGGCTGCGCAGTTCTGCAAGATCAACTTATTTAGCCAGCCTGTGACCAGATTCGGATTCCTTGGTCGATTTGGGTGTATTGTGGGTCTTGATTACATTAATCACCAGCATATTGCAAAAATTATGGCAAGATTGCATAGTGGACAAGACTTTCGAAACTGGCGTAGTAGTGTACTTGAAAACAACAGGTAAATGAACAGCACACTCAGGACTCCAGCGGTCGTCAGGACACTGAACCAGCATTTCTATGAAATGCAGCGAGTACAGTCTGCATCTCATGACAGCTTTCATCTTCAATGGGCAGGACACAATGCGTGGGAAACATTGGTTCGCAGTTTCCAGCAGACACGATGAGGAGGGCGTTCAATCCGCCAAAGCCAGTCAGTTTCAGTCACCTTCCGCGGAACACGCCCTGCAGGCATGGGGCTCCCCCGGGGTGTGTGCGCTGCCTGCGACTGGCCGTCGTGCGACGAGCCGCTCCTCTGGGCGATGGAGAACATGTCCAGGCCAGACAACGCGCGGGCGACCACAGCCCTCAAGTCTCCCAGCAGGCTCTGCTCCAGCAGGTGCTGGGCCCTTAGGACCACCTCCTCGGTGGGCTTGCCGGACAGCGCTGTGAGCCGCCGCAGCTGGGGTCGGAACGCAGCCGGCGCGGGCAGCACCAGGGACGTCAGGAGTGCATTGACGAGTTTGGACTTGCGGGCCACGCCCAGATGGGACAAGACGAGGTCCAGGACGTCCTTGAGGCTCCCCGAGTGCTCCACCCGCAGGGAGTCGATTATCTCCTGCTCGGTGGTCAGCCGGGCATTGGTCAGGAACTTCTCCTCGACGTTGAGGTAGGTGTCCAGGAGGTCTTTGGCCACCCTGCAGGCGTAGCCCTCGTTGCCCTGGGAATGCTCCTCCGCAAAGCGGATCAGGGGCTCAAGGGTGCCCAGGAGGGTGGCGCGGTCGTCGATGGGGCACTCCTGTACAACATGACAAAACGATCATCGATCTGGCGATTGCTGGTCACGTTCAAATGTGCTCAATCTCCGTGCACAGAAAGATGGCACCAACAAGGAGGTTGCGATGATGGATGTGGTGCAGCAGCTGTGGTGTGGGGGTCCATGGAAAGCTCATTTATGATCGGCAACCTGATGCAGAGTTCAGCATTTGAGCGGTGATCATGCGTCACAGTTGTCCCATGCAGAGCAATGTGAGGATTCCAGATGATGGCATATTGTGGAGAGCAGGGCAGCGGGGCACAGTACGACACATTCACAGTTTACATATGATGTTCTCCTGCATTCTGCTGCACGAGGCCAAGGCCAGCATGGCCAAAGCTGATGTTGACAGGGCATTCTGGGTCAGCTACACATGACCGGTTCAACATTTGTACCTATCCATTTGCACATACAGTCATTGCCCAGTTGGAGTGCCTGGAAATAAGGAAGGGAATGCAACTCGGCGGTTCATCAGTTGACACAGTTTATTTGCTTCAGATGGTGACCGATGTGGTGCCTTACATGCAATGGTGGCATCATTTGCCCTACATCCCTTCATGGCATTTGGTGTTCTATCCAACTTGAGATATAAATGCAGTCAACGAGTATTAGCACAACCATGGCACACATAATTACACATCACACTAGTTTGTGATCTCCATGTTTCCTTCTGCACATCCCTCCCAATAGAAAGTTTTCACCGCAACCCCTGCTAAACCAGGGATGCAGGGAATGTCTACAATTTCACTGCTCGGCGATATTCATTCATGCAACTCAAGTATCCTGCAAACTAACTCAGTGAGGATGGCAATGAGGGCCAACAATATGATTTCATAATCTGAGATAGCAGTGTATGCCAACAAAACACATGTGGAATCAATGATCCACAGTTCCCACCGGCTTCCAGTGCAAAAGGACCACTTACACTCGTCCGTACTTCCCACAGACTGACAAGCAGTGCCCTGCATTCTGCATGGATCTGCACATTCATGACAATAATGCAATTTGTTTATTCCTCGGTGCATCCAAGTGAACAACACACTGCAATGGTTATGTACCAGCCATTATCTGCATTGCCCTGACCTGAAGGCTGTTGTGCATCGTCTCCAGTAAAATACGCGCAGGAAATTCAGGAGGGGGCAGATGCGCTATGGCGGCACTAATTCCTGCTTCGTAGCCAACAATCGACCTCTGAAGCGCCTCCTTGAGTGCTGGTTCCAGTCGCGCCTCCACGACTGCATACTGCTCCGACCACTGCAGTGGTGCAAGGCTTTGGTCGTCCAGGCACCTCAGCAGCTCATCCACAACCCACTCAACCGATTGATCATACCCTTCATAGGAATGCACAACCATCGTTGACACCCACAATAGTGTTGTTTTTGCAGATTATTGGACACACAACCATTTGAGGCCAGTGCAGGACTCTGTCCAGGTGACATCCACAAATTGCACAGTCCTTTGTTTTGTTGCATGGACTTTCCAACCATGGTGCCCAGACCTCTAGATGCACAAGCAGATGTCCCTGTGTGCAGTCCCATTGCCCCTCCATTGATAGTTTGTGGAATATCTCTTGACAGCAATGCACACAACATGGCTTCACACCCTGCACTCCGCAATCCACTGCCCTACACCTGCTAGCCAACAGTAACTAGTGCAGTTCGGCTGTGGGAGGAGCACCAAAACATCTGGTGTGACAAATTCCATGATTAAATTGTCCTCCACCAATCTCTGGCAGTTTTGGCAGGCACTGCCAGGCTTCTGGCAAAATGCGGCCAAAGCAGACTTACATGCACACACAATATTCCATCATTGCTTATCATGTTTCCGGACGACCATATTTGGCCCCCCTCACAGAGCTGGATTTCATGCATTGTTGACATATTTGGAGAGCTATCAGCATGGGATGGACACACAAGACTGTCTAGTGCTGAATCTCCATTCAGTCCGATTGTCCACAATGAACGCACCTGCCAAAATGTTCCTTGCAGCCTCATATGCCTTCTTGAAACGGTGGTCCACACGGTCGCTCTGCACCAGTGGAGGCCCCAATTCAGGGAACTTCTCATCGCTGGCTTCAGCTTTCACGACCGCTGCGGGGTCATCCAAATCCAGCTGTGCAAACAGGTCCCCTGCACTGAGGGTGGCCCCCTCTGGCACCTTGAAATGTACTGTGCCACCTGCCGGAGCCAGCACGGGCATCAACATCTTCATGACTTCGAGCTCCACGTATGGCTGGTCGGCTTCAACATGAGATCCATCAGGCACCAGGTAGCGGACGATCCTTCCAGGGGAGGGGGCCAGCAGCTGTGAGGGGTCGTGCTCCTTGGCAAGAAAGGATGTCCATGACCCGATGCTGAGCCGGGTGCCCATGGGCTCCTCCTCAGCATGCACCACGTGCTTCTCCCCATCCACCTGCAGGTAATTGGTGCCACCGCTTGTAATGTTAGTGAAGGACGTCAGTGGCAAAGCAGTGAGGTGCAGTCAGCCCCCCTGTTCCAAATTTGGTCACACGTGTGATGGGAGTACAACACAAAAGGACCATAATTGCTGATGCATCATTTCTGGCTCCACTTCTATTCTTTGGCATCGTGCATCCAAGTGGACATTTGACACCAACATTGGACTCAAGTCCAACATCACTCTTGCAAGATTGGCAGTCGCATCATTTCAATGCCAAACATTCTGAGAGGGTAATTGATTGGCTGTCAGCAGGGGAAGGGGGGCCGCGTACCTGAAGAAGGGTCACACCATCAGCCTGTCTCCTGGCGACCACCTCAACATAAGAACCATTTAGTGCTACCCGATAGTTGCAGGGTCCCTGCTTGAACAGGTGCAGGCGGTACTTAAAGCCATCCAGCACCAGGTCCTGTTCAAAATGTGTGAGACTGAGCGAAGAGGGGGGTATCTGTCCCTTCTCCAGCAGCTCCTTGTAGTCGGCTGATCGGGAACTGAAGACAGCCATCGCCTTGAGGACCACCCCAGCAACCAGGGAGATGTGCCAGGGTGCACGCTCATTGCCAATCTGCAGCAAAAGAATGAGCACTTCTCATGCCCATGAATGAAGCATCCTCACATGCCCTGTGGGAGGACATGGCCACTGCACCACCACTGGATGGCAACAGCAAAACAGTGCCATTTTCTACAACCTCACATCATGGTCCCAGGAGCCAGGTCACCACAACATCGCTGCACAACAGAAGGCATTAGGCCTTGAGTGGTGAAGATGGGCTCACACTGTATCCATGACAAGCAACTTGCTGCAGGCCCAATTGGCATTTGCTGCAATTGCTACTTGTGGTAGTAATTCGTATTGGAAGCATTAACCCTCTCGGGGGAAACAATGCCTGTAAAACATCAGGCGATATTGGGGTAAATTGGTGCATGATGCCATGCTGCTCAAAGCAAGGGCCAAAGGTGGGGAAACGTTGCCCCAGTTCTGCTTCAAACAGAAACTGTGAGTACCGCAGTTAACCCAGTGCTATGGGTTCCAATAGTATTCAAAACATTCCAGAAAGCATTGCCTACAAAGCACCAAAGTTCAAACCACTCCACCTGTGCAGCGATTCTATTGTCCAGCCATCCAGTATGAATCTTCTGCTCCACAAAGTCATGATCTTGGATCATCTCAATCAGGTAGTCCACTGTGGTCCGGATCTCCCCCCTGATTTTTAGCTCCTTCAATGCCACTACCATGGAACTGATGGCCTCCCCCCTGGTCGACCCCTTTGCGAACAAGTGCCCAAACTGCGAGTCTGAGTATTCATGGATGCCACCGCCAGGCTTCACAGAAAAATAACCCCAAACCGTTGGGGTGGGTCTAAAGAGCAATTCGTCGATTCTGCCAGAAGTTGGCTTGAAGCCATTGGCAGCATTCTCAGATGTGATGCGCACAGCTACAACATGCCCATCAGTGGGCTTCTGTGGATCATTCTCAAAGTCAATGGGGTCAGTATCATTCGGATCCTTGCAGTAGAGCGCACGAATCTCTGGAATGCGGTACAGCGGGATGCCCATGCCGACCATCACCTGCACCAGATCAGGGTAAGCCTGTCAGGTTCAGCTGGATCAGTTCACAATGTTTGGCCTTCAAACCATAGGTTTGCATTCACATCTATTTTCCGATTGGAAATGGGGCTCCACCTTCACAGCTCTCTGTCCTGTATAACTACCGCTGAGCTTCGCTAGACTGTGTTGAGCGAGAGAAGATGTACATTGGGCAAGGATGCAACATGAGTACATACAAGACATTGCCTGAAAGAAGCCACTTTGCTCCACAAAGGAAACTGATTTCAACACAATACTACACACCATGAGTCGAAATGTCCACCAGGGGCTGCAACTATCTAACTTCTAGCACAGCCATAAGCTGCCAGGCCTCTGAGCATTCCCCCTCAACATACCTGTTGCCCTACGCTTGAAACCGTTCCGAATCTGAAAGCAATTGTATGGCTCCAATAGCCATCAATTCCAGTGCGGACACCATTAGCACACTCGATGCATATGAGATAGCCACCATGTCCATTGTCCACCCTGCATGGCGTTCCAGTTCATTTCACTGTTTTGCGTTGAGAAGGCAACTGTATTCCCAATGGAGCTACACCCAGTAGCTGTCTGGATACCACCAAAGCCAAGAAACCAACACAATAACAATTTAGAGCTATCCGGGCTGCAACAAAGCTGCATCTACATCTGCAGGAACCTGCACCAGCCCAATAGCGACGAGAGTAGCTGGGGAAAGCTTTCCCCAACGCTGCATCACCCCAAACAGATCGAAACCCTACAATGGAACAAACACGTTACAGAATGAGACTGTCTCACCTGGCAGGCAGGGACATTAACGCCAGTGATGCCCTCTGTCACGGGGTGCTCCACCTGCAGTCTCGGATTCAACTCCAGGAAGTAGTACTTCCTCTCAACAATGTCATACAGATACTCCACAGTGGCGGCCCCCACATAGTTCACCGACTTGGCCAGCTCACGCGCACACCGCTCCATCTCCCTCAGCAGCTCTGGATCCACCCCGATCACAGGCCCCTCCTCAACAATCTTCTGGTGCCTTCGCTGTAGACTGCAATCCCTGGAATATAGGGAGGCCACATTGCCGTGGCGATCGCAAAGCAGCTGAACCTCCAAGTGGCGGCTCATCGCTGCCAGCTTCATCGCAAAGATGGGTGAGCCTGGCACTTCTCCCTGGATCTGCTTGAAGACGAGCTTGACATCGTTGTCGGAGGCCACTTTGCGGATGCCTTTGCCCCCACCACCCCAAGATGCCTTCAGCATCACAGGGTAGCCAATCTTAGAGCAGGATTCCAGAGCCTCCTCCACAGTGTTGACACAGGCCTGGTCGTAGGCATCCTTGGGAATGGTGCCCCCGCAGTCCGCAAAGGACATCTTCACATGGCTGCCACTCCAAGGGATTGTGGGCACCCCAGCGGCTTGGGCAAAGATGGAGGAGCCCACCTGCAGCCAGTGGCCCCAGCCCCATGGTGACAATTGCCCCAACGAGCCTCTAAACTCTAGAGGGATTGCTGTTGATGATCTTCAGCAGACCGACAGGAGATACACCACTACAAAAGCATATTGTCTCCAGCCAGGGCATATGGTCCAGCTGCAAGTGTGATCAATGTTCATGTCGAATACCCACATTCCACACAATGCCTGGACACACCCTGAAGGTGTCCCCATTTTCTCCAACGTCTCTTCCCGCGTGCACACCCTCACAGGCACCATTAGTGCAAGTGCTTTTGAACATGCTAAAGTGCATAGCTATGAACATGACTACAGTCAAGGCTACTTTTCAGGGCAGTGCTGGAAGTCTGTTCACCAGGTGTCTGCAGGTTTTCGATGTGTTGTGCAGTTCAATCGGAAAAAGACAAACCACACAGGTTTTGGAAGATAGAATTCCCCAGTGTCTGGAATGGTCCATATCTGTGCTCATGCACGTTTTGGGGAACGGTGATGGAATTTCTCACCCATGGAATGGTCGATAATTGTGCTTATGTACTTTAGGGATTAAGGTGATGGAGTATCTCACCTTACAAGGCGGCTGCTGGTGAGCTGTGCTGCAAATCGCACAGCAACGGTACAAGGCATTTTGAGCCGCATTGTTGAGAGTCAGTTGAGATCATTGACAAGCGTGGGAATCAGTGGCCATTGCCTTCATGGACACTTTCCTCAGAAACTAATCGATGCCAAACTAAGAAACGTTCTTTGCAGCCCATCTGCCCAGCAACAAAGTGTATAGGATGCACTGTCGGCAGAAAAAACACAAGCAACCACACAGTCATCACAGTGGCTGAGCAAAGATGTTGTCAATAGTGGAGATCAGTGCAGTGGAAGGGGTGCTGGAATGCATCTCTGTCCCTTCTTCAGTTGTTGTTGATGGCACATGTCATGTCCTCACCTTGTCCCCTAGTGCTGCCATGGCTTCCTCTCCAGGGCCAAGAAATCGAATTTCCGAAGGCGTAAGACCAAGCAGCCTTGGCAACTCAGGGATCTCTGAAGCGTGCCCCCTACCAGAAGCACAATTTCGAGCAAGTGGTACCACAGCTGCTGGGACCTCAAACTTGCACAATCCATGTGATTGGCTGGCACCAGGCAACAGAGGCGACATCCAGAATGACTGCTGGCCACATACGTGGTCAAAGCACAGGTGAGTTGCTTTACATGCCAAAAAGCTTAGACAGCATTCATGACTTGTCAACCCCAGTTGGGACTGATGGATCAGAACCTTAAAATTCCTACACTTGACAACAACTGCAGGATAAACATGACAAACCAGCTGAAGGTGCCCAAACGTCTGTGATAAGAGCTTCATTCAAGGGAGACTATCCTGTATGACTGTACTGTCAAATGCAAAGCAGACAATCAGCAGCAACCCGCACTTCCAAATGAGAGCAACAGCGCACCAGCCTGGCCACACAGCGTCCACCTGAGCCCACTCCGCCATCTGAACGATGAGCCTGACGTTAGCATAGTTGTTGTTGTTCGTTCCACCAGGCACCTCCACGAACTGGTCCGCCATCTGCAGGTGCTCTGCATTGATGCGAAGGTCCTCTGGAGTCGCCATGGCAACAAGGGACACTGCTTTCTCGTTGCCAAACGTGCACAATGCCCACGACTTGATGCTCCTCATGAATTTGACAGCGGCTAGTCCATTGTTGGCCACAAGGATACTGCGATCATGCGCAGAGTATCAGAGACGAGGAGGAGCTGCCCATACCTTGGGTATCCATTCCACTGAAAACTGCAAGTTTACACCATTGTCCACATTAAAATACCAACTACTTCTACGCATCTCAACAAGGCGATCTCAAAATTTCCTGGTCGGACGGAAAACGGGCACACACACACGCTGGACAATTTGACACATAATGGACATTGAGTTGCCCATGCCAGTAAGAGGTATGCAGGGGGAACAGAGGCAGGGCCCAGGTGATCTGTCAAGGCATGCCATAGACCAGGGACAGGAATGTGAACAAATCATTCTGGGGTCAGCTCCGAGCTGAAGCTGCAATCTTTGAGGCCGCATTGGCTGGGGTTGCAGCTTCCCAGCTCAAGGAGCCCCTCAAGATTCTTGCAGCTGCACTGGAAACCGGTTCTGGTTCATGACATCTGGCACCCACATTAAATGGATGCCATCTTGCAAGAAGCTAACTGATGGGTGTGAGAAACAACAGGCAACCATTGTGGAAAGCATTTACTGCCCTTCGCTGCTGCCTGGCTGCAATGGGCTGTTCTTTTGGATAGATTGCCTCGAGTCCCCTTACCCCATCACCCGGCATCTCCTGTACATTCCCCTCCCCATCACCATCTTGCCATTCTATCCAACTCTGACACCTCTTACTCCGTCTTTCGTGGCATGGGCAAGAATTGCACATCCGCTATTCAGGGGGGTGCTTTCTTGTGTGCCATATTTCACCAAATACCACATCTCTTTCCGCCCGCTCTTGGGCGACGAGCTTGCTTTCAGAGCGCTCCCAGGCCACTGCCACACGAGGCTTCTCCTTTAAGACAGGCCGTGCCAGGAATCCGCAGTGATCCGCGTGCTGTGCGCCGTGGGTCAGTCATTTCGCGGTGAAAGTCAGAGCGCAGGGAGCGTGGCAGACCTGGTGATCGGCTTGTCTCCGCCGCATCTGGCCACCAACGAGTCCACCATCTCCGTCAGGCTTTCCACCCTCCGAGGCATGCCCGCACTCTTGTGCTCCATTCTGACGCAGCAAACGCAGAAAGAACTCATCGCCGCAGGCCCATGCCTCCGGATCTCTCCATTCACGTCCCAGTCAGCGCCCAACAACTTCGTCAGACACCGTCTGGACGTCGAAGACCGCCACATCCGACGTCGACTTTGATCAAACACCGAATCCGCACAGCAGCACCCCCCGCGCAACCACGACTCTCACTCGCGTACAGACCAAAAGTACGGAAAGAGCCAAAGATCGACAACCACCCACCACTTCATTCCCCGCACGGATCTGGGGCGGCCCGCACTCACACTGCGACCGTTGCTCGCCGCGGCAGCCCCTCGCGTTACCTGCTGCGCATCCTCCCGCTGGCCCGGGCGCCGCGCGTTCGCGCCCGAGCCCGGTCCACTCGATGCGGCGGGCGGTCCCGCGATGTCCAAACGCACGGACAGCCCCTGCTCCAGCTGCAGGCTGCGCTACCGGGCGCCGCCGAGCCACAGCAGCGGCATCATTCCCTCCACGCGGCCATTCGAAGCGACGTCCTCGAATGCCCCCAACCGTCAGATCCCAACTCCGCTCAAATCAACACTCAACCGACACAGCAGCGTTTCTGCGCGCCTGAAAACAGCGTCCAGCGCGGCAGGACCAACACGGGAGGGCAGCGAATGCGCCAGTCGCGAGATCCTTCCCTTGCCACCGCCGGCGAGCCCCTGGGAACGCGATCGCGTCGACTGGGTGGCGATTGGCGGGGGGGGGCCGGCGGGGGGCCGAGGCGGGCGTGGGTGGGGCCGTTGGCGTGTTTGGCTTTTGTCCCGGCTCTCCACACCGCCGATAATGGATCGCCGGGGTTCCCCGTCCCCTCGGCCTCCGTCGAATAGGCCTCCCTGTCGCTGTCGCTGTCACACGTCGGGGATGCCTCTGCTGCTTCGCCCTACCACGTGTGCTTCCAATCGGTGGCGATGGGCGGGAATATCTGCAGTGATTCTGATGTCATTCTGTGCTATTTTCAGGTGCTTCCGGGTTAGAACGTGAACCTCTGGCGAAGACACTTCTTTCCATGTGTTGTCAACGGCAAACGCTTCTTGGTGATAGGCACTGATGGATTCCTGGACTTGTCTGTGTTACGCATTAGATTTGTAAGAACTGATCGCGGACACTACTTTGCTCGGGCAAAAAAGGGAGCTGACGGTTACCTCCTTGCCTTATATGTAAAACTGAGTGAAGACCATGATGACCCGCTTTTGTGTGGATGACTGCTCTGGTGGCACATGCGGGGCATACATGCAGGGAGGTCATCCTCAATGATTGTGAAGACGCCATTTTCCCTGGATGCACAGGGTGTCCGCATGTATGTTGATCATTGTGCGGTCAATCGAACAGGCGCCTATGCCCCTGGTGACTAGGCTATCTCCTTGAGGAGGTTTTCCTGCGTTTTCGTTGTGGGGTGCACTTCTTGGAAGTTGAGCAACAATGACACCAAGTGCGACAATCTATTCTAGAATTTTCAATGGGATTGTGTCCTTTATGTCACTTGGCTCCAGAAGACGAGAGTCATTTCCTCTTCCACTGCCAGGCCTATGATAACATCCGTCGAAGCCACTCTTGTACTTTTCGATGTCGCAATGCAAAACGCTTTTTGCTTTGGCTCCCATTTGCTGACTGGCGAAGACACTTCTCTTGATGTATTATCATCGACAATCACTTCTAGGCTTTAGGAGTTAACAGAGCCATAGTTTTTGTTTTGTTTCAACATTAGATTCAATGAACTGATCAGAAACTCTGCTTTGCTTGGGCAAAGTAGGAAGCTCACAGCTACGTCATTGCCTTGTTTGGTAAAAAATGATGATGATGATGACTAAGCTACCCATTGCAGGTCATGCCCACATTTCAGATACTGTTGCCCAGCCCCCACTACGTTTCGAATGACATCAGGACAACATAGCTTCAATCCTGAGAGTATCGCAACAATCATGAAATGGAAGTATGCAATGAGCACACCATTGGCGAGACCCACTGCACCATAGGAGAGTCAAGGGCCCCCCTCAGTCAGGGCGCTTTCATGAGGATTGGTGTGACGTTCTATAGGCAGTGCACAAATTTGTACTTGGATTTTCCCATGCAATTCTGAGAAAACGAATGTTTCAAATCGGGAATTCCCTCAGGTTTTGGTTGCATTTCCTCTGGTAAAAAATCGGCCAAAATACAAGGTCCTGAAAATCGTGCACCGTGTTGCCCATGTTAAAATCGTGTACCAACCGTGTACCGACCACAAAGTACACGGATAGTCGACGCACGGCAGGAGCAGCAGCACTGCTGCTGGTACGCGTTTGAAATCGCATAAAACCGTGATGTTTATCGTGTTGTGCATAGTGGTAAAGTGTGCCACTTTCGCGTACTTAAATAGGGCTGAAACTGCACGATTTTAGCAATCACGTAACATCGCGTCCCAAAGCATCCGATTCTTACGCGATTATAGCAATTTAAACGATTGTACACCGTGTAAATTGGTCGATGTTTAATGAAAGAATTCAGCCATGTGAACCTGCTCGATAGACGACAACTGCACTCATTTGTCCCAAATCCTTAGGGGACCATCGATGGTCCCCAAATCATATTATCTTAGCGCGAATACAGCAAAGATATATTTTGCTGTATTTGCGCCAAGAAGTAGTATGCTTATCATGCGCTTGCAAATATCCTGGGATTTGGGAGAAGCTTGCAGCCCATACTCCTTCCCAATACGGAATCTCTAGTGGAGATGGAGAGCATGAACTTTACTGCCAGCAATGTTCGTTGTAGCGCACAGCGTATTGCGAATGGAAGCAGCCATATTGGATCCAGCTGAGGTGACACAGCAGTAGAATTCTGAAAATACAATTGCTGAACAACAATGCCTGGCGGGCGTGGCTTGTGCCTCACGCGGCGTTTGCCAAATGACTCTCAATGGATGAAAGCACACATAAGGTTCGCAGATTCAAGCCATGAAGATGCTGCCCCAGGCGATTCCAAAATGTGTTGTTTCCAGCAGCCAGACTTGCAGCGCGTACATTGAAAGAATCCCTGTCCTGGTATAAATGTTTCTGGCAAGTCTATACCGTCACCGGTATGGAGGCCCTGATATTGTTGGCCATTTCAATCAATAGAGATTTTCTCGGAGAGCTTTTGCCAATAGAACCGTTCGTTCGTGCCCCACATCTGTGTTGCACATGCATCCAGCGCGACGATGCGCATCCGGATCCGGCCAGCATGACCTTGGTCAGCAGGATCACTTGGTGACCACATTGGGTTGAGCGTTTTGCACTTGCGTCTGCAAATAGCAGTGCCCACACCAATCCGACCTGCAGTGCTCAAAGCATGATAGTATTGCATCGTCCTACCACCTTTCTATTTGGCGTGGAAATTAATTGCGATTCGTGCAAAACATTTGGTGTTGAATCATGAAAGTCGATTTCGCAAAGGCAGCCACACTCCCGATCTTGTTCATACGATATGACATCCGGTGCAGCGATGGCGGACATGTAGTTCACAGCGCTCCATTCAAGCACTCCCTCCGCCCAGGCCACTGATGCCCAGTTGGGCCCCTGCCCTCAAATTGATGCGTAAAAATATCATCAGGTTATTCCTTATGCTCGTGCACATGTCTTTCAGTACCATGCCTTATGCTTCCCACCACCTGGGGCGGTGGATGATGTCTCTGAGTGTTCGCGCAACTAGAGGCTTATTGCCGCTGACCCCCACCCTACCAGATATCCCGCACGACAATCACGTGGGCAAGAGGCGCTTGAGGGTGGAGGTAGAGGAGTCTCGCGCACGAATGGATCCACCCTTGTTGGAAGCCATTACCAATCCTGATTCTTATTCGGCCGTCCTCAATCCCTCATTGGATCATTCAAATTGCAGCTGCCAGGCCATCGGGTTCATTCGCTCGTGCTCCAGCTGCTGAGGCTCCAACTGCGGAACGGCTGGCCTGCAGGACAATACCGTACATCCATAGTGTACATAGTGCTAGCAGACGTAATTGTAGCCACAATTCCGCATGATATCGTAGCCGAAGAAGGGGGCAATCTGACAGGCGACGGTAGACGCACTGCAACGCAAAATCAAACGGCCGTCAATTCCCTCGGTGTATGAAATGGGTATGTCGAATGACCTTGCCTGACTCACATTTCGTAGATGCATGTTGAATGCTTTGCAAAACTGCCATTGGTAACAACAAGCCCAAAAACACTGACACAGGGGCATGGAAGAGCAGTAATTGTGGATGTGGTGTTTGTCTGCAAGGCTGTCTTCTGTTTCATTAGAATCTGATTCAAGGTGCAATGAATGTTCAGTTACTGGTGCCAAATTGCATCAAAACGACGCAGCCCATCAAAATCAATTGGCCGCGTGCGTGATTTCAATTCCGAAGATACACCTCTGTTCTGGCGGCAGAGTACGCTGCACGGCACCCTTGTATAAACAAGGATTGGAACACAAGGCAAGATAACTACGGGCAGCAAGTCGCTGCTTGCAGCGCACTGCCAAGCTTGAGCGCTGCAAATTCTGAAGTATTCAGGCCGCAGCGCCCATGCCAATGGTGCGGGCACCAGCGCTTCAGATGCAGCAAATTATCGATATGCAGCCTTGTGCTTTGAATAATTGCGTCTATGATTTGGTGGCTATTCGGTGCAAGGACGAACTGCCGCTGAACAAGGGGACGTTGCAAACTCAAACCACCCGGCGTACCATTCGCATCCTTGAATTGCGCCTGCCCCAGCCAGGCTCAGAGCAGTGCAACAGCCCGTGCTTTGGCCGTCGCAAGACTCAAAAAAGGCTTGAATAACCTTGTCGCTGCTGTCGCACTGGCTGCAACCCTGGCTGCGAACAGGGCTCCTGGAACCCAGTGTGCCAGTGGATGGACTCGGCTGCTTTCGAGAAGTGGGAGTCCCTCCAGAAGGTCCAGCTGATCCAGGAAATGATGTTGTTCCAGTAGACGGTGCTGATCCGGGAACGGGTGTCGTTCCAGAAGTGGATGAGGGTGCGTCATCATCTTCTCCGGACAGCAGGGCACTGAGGGCGCCGAACTGGGCACAACAAAAGCGAAAACAGCATGACGGCATTGGCAAGTGCGCACACGGGCGCGCAAGTGACTGCAGATGTGCTCGTCCTCGAGACAAGCTCATTGCTGAGCGTCAAAACGGTGCGATGCCAACACCAATATGGGCGTGTCAACTCGTGTATGACGTGAAAAATTTGCAAGGAAGATGGAGAAAATTTTCACCAGCTTGGGTGGCTAGCCAACAGCATGCATTAGCAGACTTGGCAAAAACAAAGTTACACACCCAGTGCGATCCGCTTGTTAGGGATCCAGTCAAAACAATA